CGAATTATTCTTCTACCCCATTTGACCATGAAGGCCACGCTTTGTACTCGGCGGAAACTTCATGCGCAATTGGGACAAGGGCAGATATTTCATCTACTCGGCTCATCCATATATGACTGAATTATTCTTCTGCCCCATTTGATCAGTTGATCATGAAGGCCCTGTTTTTGTACTCGACGAAAACTTCATGCTCAATTGGGGCAAGGGCAGATATTTCATCTACTCGGCTCATCCATATCTGGCCGAATTACTCTATTGCCCCACTTGACCATTTGTCGAAGTTCATTTTTTTGCTTTGAGCATCACACATAAGTTCATTACAATAATTTCAAACATAAACCATTCATTTGTATGAACACATCACTTCTCAGAACTGGCATTTTTCATTCATAAACTAAATACAAAGAAAGTATCATTTTATCAATGAAAACGGCCCTAAATACATAAACATTTCTAATACTATATTAACACTAAAACAATTACAAAATAAACAGCAAAAATAAGCACACTATTGTTAAAATTCTTCAAAATCCTTTGGATCTGATTCTAGAGGTTCAACCTCTAGCTATTCATACGGAATCTGTAGATCAAGACTCACTTTGGCAGCCGCCAAAGCTTTAAGTCAGCCATGCTTGAAGCCTCAGTTTTTGAACTTCGTGCTTCGTCAACATATAATCCTTTGGCTTGAAGTTCGTTGGCATCAAAAGCTTTGGTTGTATCTGCCTCCGCTTTCTCTTAGGCCTTCTTTGCTTCTTGCAACTCGGCCATCAATCTCAGATTCTCTGCCTTGGCCAACTCTAACTCACCGTCCATGGTGGCAGCCCTCTCTTCAGCGCTCCTGGCTTTCTCTTCTTTCGACTGCAGCCTTCTCCTACTCCTCGTCTACCCTCCTTGCTTTGGCCTCCGCCTTATCCATCGACATCTTCAAATCAGTGATCGCAGTGACAACCTTGTTTCTTTCATCTTGAAGTTGGACTTCGATCACATTGAGTCTCTCTACGACATCGTAGTGACGACGGTCGATCTCCACTATCCTGCCTGCTGCCTAAACAAGTAAGACAGCAACCACATTAAACATAAAATTAAACATAAAAACGAAAAAACAAATTCATTCCAGTGCACTTACCAGTATAGCCGACTGCACTGCCAAAGCAATAGAGACGACGTCCGGCTCAGCACAGAACGCGACCTTATCTGGTGAAAGTGAAAGTGCCAATGCCACACTGAGGGCCACGGTGGGATCTTTAATGGCCGACCCGCTGGATAGAACCGGCGTATTTTTTGTCCTTGGCTGGATGACGAATGACTCAGCCGAATCCGGAGAAAACGACTCCAGCCTTTGTCGTTTGTCAACCGATTCTTCTGGCGATTCGGTAATATATTCGGCGGGGCGCTTTTCACCCCTTTGATCAACTTGACCAGAGCCCAAAGTCTCCATCGGCTGACGAGCGAGGACTTTATCAGCCACGATCAATTCTTGAGTTGCTACGACGACCACCGGAGGGGGAGTTTCTAAGTTCCCTCCACCACTGGCTCTCCTGTGTACTGCCATCTTCTCTACATTTCTTCTTCTGGCAAATTGGGTAAGTGACTCACCGCCCATTTCTTCAGAGTCGGCTCTAGGAAAATCTCCTAATTCGGAAAAAATGTCCTCTGGAGAAGCAATCTCCACTCGACCTGAAATAAAGGTTTTGGCCGCTGTCTCCTTGCTTAAGTTGCTCAAAAGCCAACTCAACTTCTCTGTTCAACTCTTCTTCTTCCAAACGGATCCCCTATCTAGCTTCCACATTTGAACTCTGCTCTTCTAAACGGCCCTCTGGTTCAGCCTCTTCAGTTCTCGGACCTTCAAGACCGATGTCCTTTGAGCTCTTAAAGTTGAGGAATATAAGTGTCGTGAGATACTACTCTTCTCTTGGCACAGGAATATGATCTATCGCTGAAAAGGTTGCATAGGTTGGCTCGTATCTCAGCAGAATGTGTGTCACGTGTCCTTGTCCTTGCAGATTGGCCAGCCTTTTGTATCTAAGGGTCGTCTTCAACTAATTAAGAATGGCTTGGCCCGCCGACGAAAGAACTCTCTTTAAGTTGTTACCTACAAAAAACAAACTAGTTTAGTAATCTTTAGGAGCTGAATATAACACCTAAACTAAAATCTAAGCCACCTGGCTCGCTCTTTCATCTCGGCACAAGGTCTTGGCGAACTTCTCTTTCGCCGAATTCCTAGTTGCCTCGAATGGCAACCATGACGTCGTTGACTCTTTTTCTAGAGCTAGCGACCATAGTCACCAAATGGTGATCTATGTCCTTGGCTCTAAGAAAATAACGACCCTGACGACCAGTTGACTTCGCCAGGACATGGCAATGCCGAATCGCTGGAATTGCCAAGTTAAGCCCTAGTCGGCAATTCAATTCTACCAAACCCATGATTATACGAAAAAAATTCACATTGGGTTGAGAGGGAATTAAACCCTCGTAGCACAGAATGGTCCTCGGGAAGGGGTACAAGGGAAAATGAATCCCGCCCTTAGCAATTGACAATAGAGGGAAGATTATAGTGTTTGCATCAGCCCTCTTATTAAGCACACTGTCTACCACAAGGGATAGGTGGACGTCGTCAGGGATTAAAAAGTGACAACGGAAGGCGGCAACTCGCTCGTCAGAAATGAGAGCTTTCAAATGAGTCGCCATTCCAAAAAGGATAGAAGATAAATAACAATGCACAAAGGGGATTGAAATATGAACAAAAGATGAAGAGAGAAAGAGACTTACAGGTCAGAATGAGGGAGCAAAGTAAAGAAGCGATATGAAGCAGAGTAGGAAACACAGGAGTCGTGAGGGAGGAAGAACGGTATGAAGAATGCGAAGGAGCCAAAATTCAATACGTACGATTTTTAAAAATCGCACTAAATGAACGTCAAACTACGAAGGGGAAGGAAGCAATGATGACCCCAAATGTGACTGATCTGATGTATCAATACCAAAAGAGGCGTGTGCGCCATATTTTCGACTTCCAAGATTTGTCGAAATATTCAACTGACCACGCCGAATAACATATATTAATTGAATGTTTGGGGGGCAATTATGGTAGTCAAATATATGAAATATCTTCTTTGGGCTGGCACAGTGCGAGTCGGCGAAACACGCTAAGCCCACGGTCAGATAAGTCGGCCACATTAAGTCTAGTGGGCCAACGCCGAATAAAACCAGGCTTAAAGGGCCATCTGAACCTATTATCTCACAGGCTATATGGGGGGTCCATGAATGGGGTCAAAGCCCAAGAGGAAATAGTGGGCCCTTGGAAGGTCACTAGGGAAACAATATAAAACAAAGGAGAAGATAACAGAGAAGAGGATTCTGTTCTTGGACAATAGAGTACTCCTAAACCCATTACACCATAGTCTTTTTTTTAGGTAATTCAAAATAGTAATATTCACATTATTCTTATTCATAACAAAGTGTGAACATTCACATATTTTATTCTATAAAATTACAAAAATCATTCAACAAAAAAAATATAAATTAAAAAATATATATCTTTAGGACTTAATATGACATTGTGAAATTTATTTTATTTTTCATTTACAATATGTGAAATTTCACACTGTATTAGAATTGAAAGTTTGAATTTTTTTTTTTTTCTTTTAATTGAGAAACTATGTGACATTTGAAAAAAAAAATGTGAAATTTCAAAAGTGAAAATTTTCATATTTTCAAATTCAAACAAGTGTGAAGTTTACCTACCCCCAAAAAAACATGGGTGAAGTTTTATAGTTTTTTTTTTTTTTTCATTTTACATAATTTTATAATCAATTGAGATATTGTGTTTATAGATATCGTTGAATAGTTTTTAAAACAACAGATTTTTTATATAAAAAATAGATGTATACATAAAAAAATATGAAATTATAAAGTTTGGAACATAAAAAAAAAAAAATAGTTTCCATACAAGTATGTTGACGACTTCCTAGATTTGCTCTTGCACATAATTAAGGGTAAAAATGTCTCAAACATTTTGTCTTCCAAACAACTTATATAATGGGAATAAATTAAGGAAAAAAAGCCATGAGACCTAGTGACATATAAGTGTGTACAATAGAATTTATGAGTAAAAGCCCCATGTAAATTTATAATAATTTTTAATTAAAAACAATTATTGCACTTATTGTTGGATTAGAGAGGATCTCAATCTCTTGAGTACATACCAAGAATATGGAGATAAAATATGATATATATATATATATATATATATATATTAATTTAAAAAACAAATTAGTGACTTATTATAAATAAAGTTAATTAGTGAAAAGTTCATTCCTATAGGATCATATGTTACTTCGTCCAAGATTTAATGTGTTTTGGTAATAAGCACACCCGTTGAGAAAGTACTTGGAAAAAATTGTTGGTGGTTGGTAGCAACGACGAGTGGCTGACAGCTTTGCTTAGTCGTCCAGACAGACAGTCGGTGAACAGTTTCTATGTTTGGTTTCTGTGTTCCATCCTCTGTGCTCCTAGACTTTTTGATACTTGGATGCAAAATTCTTATAAATATTAGGGAAAATTATTGTTGACGGGTGGCTGACAACTCTGCTTAGTCGTCCCGGCAGACAACCGATGAACAGTTTTTGTGTTTGGTTTCTGTGTTCTATCATCTATGCTCCTAGACTTTTTGATACTTGGATGCAAAATTCTTATAAATATTAGGGAAAATTATTGTTGACGGGTGGCTGACAACTCTGCTTAGTCGTCCCGGCAGACAACCGATGAACAGTTTTTGTGTTTGGTTTCTGTGTTCATATTAATTATTAATATTTAGAATTTTTTAAATTTTTTTGTACATATGTAATATTTTTTATATTTATATAAATTATTTTCATTGTATTGCATCTCTTCGTAAAAATAAACGATAAATATATTTTTAAAAATAAATCATCTAATTTTTTATATGATAAAATAAAAATATTTTGATTATTGAATTGAATTATTTGTTTTTTTTTTATGGATAATATACCTTGGAAATCCTACGGCGTAGCATCCGAGGAAGAGTAGAGGCTCATGATGCCCATTAGTACTTCCAGCTGGACGTCGGAGATTTTGAGGTCGCCCTTGACGAAGAGTCCTGCGCCACTCATCACCCCACCATCTGCACATCATCATCACCCGTAAATTTCGTTAGCTTTCTTCCCATAATTTTCCCGGGAAAAAGAAAAAGAAACAGAAAAGCATTTAGAGTATGTTTGAATGATAAAACTTACCATAACCGAGTAAGATGGAAGTCGTGGAAGCTAAAATGGCACAGGCAAAAGCATACTTGTTTCGTTTTGGTTTCTGCGGTGGATCTAAAGCTGGAATATGTGTCTGGGTTTGGCCGGAAAAGCCATTGTTCTGAGGCTTCCGGTCAGCCATCTTTGAGAGAGAGAGAGAGAGAGAGAGAGAGAGAGAGACATGAGAGCTAGCTCATATGGGCATGAACAGGAGAGAGCTACGTAAAGGTATGTTGATGGAGGATGGATTGAAGTGACTTTCTTCTTTTGTTGTGGCCGTACAGCAAGAGCAGTGCAGTACTTAAGTAGAGTGAGGCTTACCCCGTTCGGGATGATGATTGAAGACCACAAGGTCTGTTTGACGAAGAGTTAGAGTATTATCAAGTGCATTAGATTTTTTTTTATTAGTTTATAATATAAAAATTATAAAAACACATTACATGAAACTTAATTATTGGTTAGCGTGGGTATTGATTTTTGATCTTACAACCAAATAGAAAATTTAGCTTGAGAGTACATGACAGAATAGATTAAACCAAGTACTTTCCAACAAGAAAACAAGAATACCACAGTGGCTCGTCCACCCGAGTGTATTCCAACAATCAAGTCATTTAATTTTATCTCTCAAATATATCAAATTAGTAAAAACATACATTAGACTCACGGGGTGTGTACACACCCCATTTTTGATTGGTTTTAAGGATTGGGCGCCTCAGGTTGATCACTCAGTGATGACAGTTATGCTGTACAAACGTTAGATTTCTTCAGTAAGAAGAGCTTCTCAAACCCAACCTTACACCCCAATTTTGATCAAAACTGCTTTAGACCTTAAAATTCCTTTTTTAAAAATATTTTTTTAAATGGTTCTACAATGTTCCAAGGCTCACATTTCATTTAAAATATTGCACTTTTAGGTAAACTGAGTAAGGACAAAGTAGAAATAAATGAAAGGAATGTGAACTCTTTGAAAATCTTTAAAGCATCTTATTTATAGGTTTGGAGTTGAAGAAAATAGAAGGAAACGAAGAAAACTAGTTGGGGAAAAATTTGGGCATCAATCCATTGAAAAAGAAATGAGCAGCCTTCACAAAAATAGGCATATCTCTTTGCACACTTAGAATTTAGATGTGAGGCCACCGCCATTGAAAAGCCGACTTCCGGGGCTTCAATACAGACTCAAGAATGACCTAAATCCGAGTTCAGATGAAAGAGAAATGCCCGTTTGAAATCGGGCTTGAAAGTAAATTTTTGTCTGGCCTACCACTTGTGGCCTGCGGCCCCCTTTTAGTGGCTTAACGGCCACTTGTGTCAAAAAGTAGATTTTTGCAGATATTTGTTACCAACTATTCCCACAGGTGCATGCACTGCACCAGCTGTCTATATACAAATATTTCCGACCTAAGACACATATTTTCTATACATAGATGACCAGCCCTCTTGAAATTAGGTTAGAAAAAAATTCCAAAGGCTCCAAAACTTGCATAGCACACACTCTCTCTCTATCTTGGAACCTACACACTCTCTCTATACTTCCTAAACCAAAAATTTAGCTCTTCTTGCTGAGGTTCTTGAGCTCAAATCTCAGCCCTTAAGAGTGAGAACTTGTGGGCTTGTCAACAAAAGAGTTACTTTGCTTCAAGAGGTATAATTTTGAGCATCTCTACACTACTACTTCCTTCTCTTTTCTTGCTGTTTTTGTACTATTTTTCACCTGTATTTATGAGCTGAAACTTGTGGTTTAAGGCCATTAAAGGTAGAGGGTTTTACTACCCTTCTTTAAATCTTATTTCCTAGGCCTTTGCCCTTGTGTTTCCCATCTTTTCATTAAATTTTTTTGAGCTTTTTACCACTAATTTAAAGAGGTTTTCAGCGGCTAAAAAATTAGTTTTGAAGTCCCAAAAATGAAGGGGCTAGCCACCCCTCCTTTAGCTTGTTTACTAGCTTGATTTCTCCATTATTTTAGCTTACTCTTTTAGCTTTTTGTACATTAATTTCAGCACTATTTTTAGGTGTTTTAGGACTATTTTAGGTTGTTTATTTCTTTTATGCATTGCATAGCATGTTTGTAGTGTAATGGTCCTCATAGGTTTGGTGTTTTAGGCATTAGATACCAATTTATTTGAGTTGATAGCATTTATTTCATGCATTTCATGCTTTTCATACTTGTGTTCATGTCTAATCACCTCTGCACCTCCCCTCTTTTCTTGTCTTTTTCTCTTTGTTTTGAGAGTTGCTTCAAAATTAGTGTTGTTTAAGATTGAGAGGTGACCTTGTGCTTAATGGTTTAATCTCTTCGGAGGTTCATTACCAACGGTATGATCTCCCTCTCATGCCTAAAACAACCCTTGATTTGACACTCCTCTCCATTAGTGGACTTAATCTTCATTTTTGGACTCAATTGATTAAGGAATGAAAAGGTAATTAAAAGATGTATTAAAATTGGAATAAAATGAAGCAAGATAATAAAATGGTTTGGGTTCAATCGGACATTAATTGAACCCAATGAATCTTGAGTCGTTTCATACTTGTTAATGACGAAAACGGTTCAAGAGTCGATGCCAATCACTTCCCTTGATCAATATCATGATAGGGAGGAGGTTCGTGGGTCTTTCATTGTGCATTTATTGAAATTGTATCCCTTGGTTCATAAGTCATCACACAATGAATTTGCGCCAATTGATGGCTTGTAAATCGAGCCTACCACTCCTTTGAACTATTCGATGATAAGGAGGGGTAGGGTGGACATACATTCCCTGAGAATGCTCTGTTTGTACTCTGTTTATTTTCTGTTGCTGCAGGAGAAACCCAACATGAGTGGCCGGCAGACGACTATTTCTGGGTAGCAGGCCACTATTAGTGGGCGGCCAGCCACCATTTCTGGCCTGCCGGCCACTTTTGTCCACCAGGCAATACCTTGTTTTCTTACAGAACAGAGTAAAGGATAAAGCAAAACAGTGCAAGTTTCTGGCTGCAAAACCAAACCCTCTTGGCAGGAAAACATAGGCATTTTCGGGTAGAAAATCTACTTGCATGCATAAGTCCTTTCATTGATCCTCAGGACCCATTGAATGGTGGATTTGTAAATAATTAGTTAATTTCAATTCCCTAATTTTGGTATTGTAATAATTAGCTAGAATAGTTAGTTATGTGTTGTATTTAATTAATTAGCTAGAAAAGTTAGTTAATTTGTAGTGTTGTAATAATTAGTAAATTAGTTAATTACTTAGTGTAGCTAATTTATTTTGGGTATTGTAATAGTTAGTTAATTAGGTAATTAATTAGCTAGTCCATTTATTTGGACTTTCCTGCATGAGGGGAAATTGTAATAAGTGTGTATGTCTTCCAACCCCACGTTTTTCTCCCTTTTATTTATCCGCTTATGATGGATAGCTTAGAACATCATATTTCTTTTAGCATTTCACATGTTTGCATCCATTTTTCTTGCATGCATTAGGCTTGGCGCATCATTCTAACTCACATTGTAGTTTACATACTTTGTTGGAAACATGTAAAAACTGCATGCTATCAAGTTGTTTCAAATGCCATATTAGTAGGTGAGTCTATTAATTGCATATTGCATGTGTTGCATTAGTCATATTTCATTAGTTAGGAATCATGTATTTTTCTAACTCGTATCTTTTTGGCTTGGAGTAGTAGGTGAGCGTTTACTCACTTTAGCATCTTGCATGAAATGTTGATGTTGCTATGTCTAGCATGCTTGCCATGAGGCTAAGTGCTTAATTGCTATAAACTGCTTAAATGCCTGTGGATGAAGGCTGAAGTGCCCTTTGTGCTTGGCACAATTGGCCAATATAAGACTCCGAATTCAGAACGCCCTTCGTGCAGGTCACGATCGGCCGAATAAGACTCTGAATTCAGAGGGCTCTTTGTGCTTGGCACAATTGGCCAATATAAGTCACCGAATTCGGAGTGCCCCTTGTGCAGGTCATGATCGACCGAGTAAGATTCGGAATTTGGAAAGCCCCTCATGCAGGTCACGATCAGTCAAATAAGCCTCCGAATTCGAAGTGCCCTTTGTGCTTGGCACAATTGGCCAATATAAGACTTCGAATTCGGAGTGCCCCTCGTGCAAGTCACGATCGGCCGAATAAGCCTCCGAATTGGGAGCGCCCTTTGTGCTTGGCATAATTGGCCAATATAAGACTCTAAATTCATAGTGCCCCTCATGCAAGTCATAATCAGCCGAATAATATGTCATGGACGATTGGATTTTTTTGAACTAATTATAAAAGATAATACAAGTGATACCATATCAAATGAAAGAAACAAACGCTTCGTACTAAAGTAATTTGAGTTTTATTAGAACAAATGGCACAAGACATTAAAATTACAAGAGACTACTAAACTACTGCATCCCTATCATTTGCCTCCTCTCCGTCATTAGTCTTCTTGGCGTCATATGCTTCGAACGAAAGTTCATAGCTTTGGTACAGGAGCGAAGAGTCATTAATACTTGCGGCCCGAAGAGCCTTAAGCCATCTGTGTTTGAAACCACGATTCTCACAGCGACAAACATCATCAGCCAGCTTTTCCTTGGTTTTCTCGATACCGACTTTCCGACCATCAAAAAAGCATTCCTTATACGCGTGGGATCAAATGGCTTATTTGGCAAATATGGCAGCAGTGTCCAGATCAGCTATGACATGATCTATCAGACGCTGGTTTAGTCTATCAGAGACAGCCGTATTCGCCGACCCTATGGGTATCTTCTCGGCAGCCCTGGCTTTGCATATTTCGCTCTCCGCCTTCTCAGCGTGACGTTTCAAGTCTCGAATCTGTCCATCTTTTTGAAAAATTTCTTTTTGAGCTGCCTGCAGGTGCATGCCGGTCTTGTATGCACAATAGAGTCCCTTGATCGACCCATGAACTTCGTCTCTCAACACCTCATAATCGCTCGGCCCGATCGTAGATTGCTGTACCTCAGGCAGAAAATTTTGACGACTAAAGTCCATCGCCACATTGGGATCGTGAATGATTGAATCTGCTTCAGTCATGGGCTTATTGCCAATAAACACAGCGAAACTAAGAGGGCGTGGCGGTCAACTCGGCTCCTGTCGAATGGACGCTCGTGCACTTGGCGCTTTGTTGTTGCTTTTTTTGTTGAGGCCCGTCTCTTGGCGATTTCTCCACTTCGCTCCTCCTTGGAGACCTGCTCCGTCGACGAGGTGAATGTCATCTTCCTCATTCCTCTGACACCATAGTATTCACACGAGAAGCTGTTCCACGATCCATTTCTGCGTCCAACTCTGCTAAACTCTTTCCTTCACCTTTTCTATTAAAAAATAATTTACCAG